TTATGGCTGCTTGTTGCTGGGTTCGGCATCTCAGCTCCCCCAGGCTTTAGTAAAGATATCGAATGGTGGGACTCACGTCGTTAATTACACTTCGACTTGTGCCGCCCACCCAAAGTATTGTGTACGCAAGTAGCGCTCCTAGGAAGAGGGACGCTACAAGAAGGAAAGCCAAAGCAACTTTGCTGATTAAAAGTTGTGGAGTCATCTTGGTGAATCGTAGTAAGCTGGGAGGGTCTGCTAGCCATACGTTAACCTATTTATTGTGTTTCCCTATGATTGTCTCTTTGATTGCCACCCCAGGCCTCAGCGCTCAGCGCCTTTGAAAGGCCCTTTGTGCGACTTTTTCTTTGTGAGTAATCACGTGATCGGGTGTCGAAGTGGTTCATGCCACCAGAAACAAAGCGCCACTGGTAATAGAATGGGCTAGGGAAAGAATCTATATAACTATACCCTTCGCGCTTTCACAAGTACGCTCAGAAGTGGCATTGATTGTCCTCTTCTCCCTCACTGGTCTTCATCTCTCTTCTCCCGCAATTCTTCCGGGCCCGCTCCTTAACTTTGCCTTAACTCGTTCATTTTCCCTTTGTCATTCGATGGCTGCGTCAACGTCAGATCATGAACCCTTCATCCCAGGCGGAAATAAGTTCAAACTAACGATTCCTTTTCCTCTCCCTGGCCATCAAACTATTGCCGTCATGCCTATCGTTCCTCAAAGTTTTAAACGGAAATCTGCCTTTCCGACGTCTGAAATTATCGCACATCAGTAAGTGGCGACCTTTGTGATAGGAATCTAACGTAATGGTCTACCAGGACTGTCGCTGTTGAGACACATGCTCCTAGTTGGGAAACTCGTCCGGTTGCTGGCATGTAACTCATAACTTCTATATTTAGCGGGGGCGACGAAGCTAACGAGTCACAGCCAGACTGAGCATGCGAATCAAAGCAAGACAAGCTCTAACGCTGCGACCCCTCTTGTCAAGTAAGTTTTGCTCTTTTTCCTGAGACGCTTCGTCGAGTCTTTTCTTTTAGGGGTGACCCTCTTGTTGACCCCCAGTCTGCAGCAACCCAGAAGGTACGAAGTGACCGGGGGTAGCTGATCTACCGGCTCAGTCCATTTCCAACAACCTGTCAATTTCTGCACACTCAGGCTCCAGGTGATTCCCAACGACCGCGACTCAACTGTGCTAATCTTGTCTTCAGGCCGATCTCAACAACGCACAAGAAGAAATCAACAACGGATTGTGCATCTTCGTCAAAGGTGGGCCATACCTTGGGGTATGTGCTACCCATTACAGATGGATCTATTTCTACGATTTCGCTCCACATAGATTTAACGACCTGGGGGACCTGGGAGTTGATATCCCTCAGCTTTCAGTAATCTCCGATAACGGAAAAACTCAGTCATTCGGCTCAAAATGGTACGTCATTAATCTTCGTTGTTTGTCTGTACTTAGCGCCAACGGGTCCAGCCTTCCGGATGGTTTCCATAGCATGCAAACGCGGTCGTCTTCAGCGCGGCTAAGTCAAAAGTATGATGGCTTATTGGTGGGATCTGCTGTCATTTTAACTTAGTGTGCCCAGGTCCAACACCTCACATTTGGGCGTACAGACCGCTTTCGGATCATCAAAGGGGTTAATCGCATCAGGGTGAGAATTCGTGCACCTAATGACATTGTGACACCGCACTGATATCACTAGTGGCTACCACTATTTATGATTAATCTATGACAACTGTCCAAGAGCCATTGTGTATAATGCCACAGGTTTTATGAAAGGCATCTCATTAGGATTGCCCATCTATTTCATTCAATTTGTCACTGGAATATTTCATAAGTGATAGGCAAGGATAATGAGATATCATGGGGATATTTCATTAGGCTCTTTGGCCCTTTCATTATCATTTCTGAGACTTTTCATTAGGATATTTCATTAGACTGCTTCGCTTTTTCATTACCATTTCATAGAATTTTCATTAGGATATTTCATTAGGCTCCTTGGCACTTTCATTACCATTTCTTAGAATTTTCATTAGGATATTTCATTAGGCTCCTGCGCTTTTTCATTATCATTTCTTAGAAATCTCATTAGGATATTTCATTAGGCTCCTGTGCTTTTTCATTATCATTTCTTAGAAATCTCATTAGGATATTTCATTAGGCTCCTGTGCTTTTTCATTATCATTTCTTAGAATTTTCATTAGGATATTTCATTAGGCTGCTTCACGTTTTCATTACCATTTCATAGAATTTTCATTGGGATATTTCATTAGGCTCCTTGGCACTTTCATTACCATTTCTTAGAATTTTCATTAGGATATTTCATTAGGCTCCTGCACTTTTTCATTATCATTTCTTAGAATTTTCATTAGGATATTTCATTAGGCTTCTGCGCTTTTTCATTATCATTTCTTAGAATTTTCATTAGGATATTTCATTAGGCTCCTGTGCTTTTTCATTACCATTTCATAGAAATTTCATTAGGATATTTCATTAGGCTCCTTGGCACTTTCATTAGGTTTTCTTGGAATTTTCATTGGGATATTTCATTCAGCTCCTTGACCCTTTCATTACCATTTCATTAAATTTTCATTAGAATGCTTCTTGGCGCTTTCATTAGGATATTTCATTACACTCCTTGACCATTTCATTAGATTTTTCATTGGGAGATTTCATTGGCCCTTTCATTACCATTTCTTTTAGGATATTTCATTGAGCACCTTGACGATTTCATCACTTCTCATTAGGCTCCCTGGCACTTTCATTACTATTTCTTAGATTTTTCATTAGGATATTTCATTAGGCCCTTTGGCACTTTCATTACCGAAAACTATATAATAATGATGATATGTATCACATGGGTTGTTGGGAGGGTGGTCACATGACCAATTACCAAAAATAGTCAAAAAGCAAAAGTTGTACCCCTGCACTGTAGCTTCCCGAATCTGGTTGAATTATGTTCTGAAGTGCTCCTGTTGTGGAGATATGAGGTAAAGGAATTCCAAAAGCGTCGTGTTTTTTTTGGTTTTTTGCATTTTTCTTCATGAAAACAAGACCAAATAACATGATTCCAACACATTTAGAAAGCTAGATGAAAGGGCAACAAATATCATATCGTGGGAAAATTGACCAAAAAAGGAAGGTGCATTCCCTAAAAGAGCAATCAACACTGACACACTACAAGTTTACTGATAGACTACAAAAAAGTTGGACATAGGCTACAAAGTTTACTGATAGACTACAAAAGACTACAAAAGTCAGACTTAGACTACAAAAGCTTGGACTTAGACTACAAAATTAGGGTTACATTAAAAGGTTTTGTAGTGTCCGCTTTTTCATTAGAAAAGTTTAGTGTCCGCTTTTTTAGACTACAAAAGTTTGTAGTGTGTGCCTTTTCATTAGAAAAGTTTGTAGTGTCCGCTTTTCAGACTACAAAAGTTTGTAGTGTCCGCTTTTTCATTAGAAAAGTTTGTAGTGTCTGCTTTTTGAGGCTACAAAAGTTTGTAGTTGACATATAGTTTATGGTGTCCTTGACTCTGTATAAGTTATGGGGATGAGGTTAAAGGATTGACATGATTTTACATATTGCCATTGCTGCAGCATTTACTTTTGACATCATGTACAAATTGTCTTTCACATCAAGAAAGGCTATTCTATGCCTTCATATTGATAGCTACTGTCCTATCTCAAATCATGGTTCTAGGTCCATGTGGATATGGTTTGAAGGATTAAATTGCTTTACATATTACTACTGCCAAATGATTAGTTTTTGACATCATACCCAAGTTGCCTTTCACATCAGGACAGGCTATTCTCTGATTTCACATTGATAGTTGCTGGTCTGTCTGCTTTCACATTGATAGCTACTTGCCTGTCCCAAACCTAGTCAACTGTGATATCAGCTCTTTCCGGGCAATACAATGCGCTGATTGGTCCCTGGAAGTAT